TTTTTGTCTTTTTTCCGTGTCCGGCAACGGATTGCAACCCTCAGTGTTGCCCCCGTACCGGGCCGGGGACCGGCAACGGGATTGCAACCCTCAGCGTCGCCCCCATGCCTCGCTCAGCCAGTGAGCGGGAACCGGTCTGTATGTGGGATCCGAACCCTCGGGCGGGAGTGCCGCCACGCTTCCCAAGCGGCGCACTATCCAGTGCGCCACCGGGCCGGCCCCCATGTCATTGTTTTAATGGCTTCAAAGTATTCTAATGCTCAGACAACCCCTTATTCTTCAGCACTTAGGTTACTTCTGCCTTCTTGCTATTATAAACAATACTGTGGTACAAATCTATACATACACTTTTACACAATTTGTATGTCTCGATACATATATTTTGTGTAAGTAATAAAACTATTAAATACTTGAATTGTTTAGCTCAAATACGGCCAACCACTGAGGTTAGAATCACTTCACCGTTGTCTATTTTGGAAATTTTTTTGCCTCCATTACTCCCTCCATAAATCTGACAGTAGGCACAACAGCACAGCAATCTCAAAATAAGTGTGAGTTCACAATAATCAAATCTTAAATAGCAATTAATTTGATTTAGTAATGACCATTCTCCTCCTCCTGTTTACAAGTCTAATCCATAGAATAAGTGCAGTAATATGTTAATAACATCTAATGATCACACATCACAAAGCTCTTTACTTTGATCATCATAATAACTCTGTGTGGATGAGAAGACAGATATCATTCTTCTTCCCATTTTACAGATAAAAACACTGAATTCAGTGGTATAATTTATTCAAAGTCACACAGCAGAGCTACAGCTCAAATTCAACCAGACACCATATAAAACTAACACTCTTCTTTCTTCTGTCACATCACTGGGCCTGCACACTACTGTAAATGACCCAGAAGACTGAAGACTTAAAGACATGCTGAAATTCTTACCTTCAGTTACTAGTCGCTCATCTTGAAATGTTTCAGCAAAATTCATGCTTTGCAGCACACTATGTTCTGGAAGTATCTGTTTTATAATCCCTGGTTTATGTAATAGGGCTCTGCCAGGAGAGATTTTTATTCAAAAGTGATTTTACACATAAAATGACCTTAATTAATCTTCATTAATGCATTTGGCAAATCCCACTAACAGTATGATACATCAGTGTGCAGATCTCATATCTTAAGTCCTAATTTTAAAAGAAAACCTGTTTTGGAAGTTCCACTAAAAGTTACACACGGTAGTAAAATCATTGGTTTCAGTTCAACATTAAGAGCAAAACAAGAACTCCCTAATATACGAGTAGAAACAAGAGTAAAATTAGATTCTTTTCAGGTCTTACATTTTCATTATTTGTAATAATTTGGTCATAGTTAGAAATTTTTCTCAGAAAAAAAGAACATGCTAAAAAAAGATAAGATTATCAGAGGGAAATATTTTAATTATCATATAACTATGTTTATCTGGCCTCTTCCAGAAAATCCTTGAGGTGGGAAAACTGAAATGTAAATTTCTCTATAACACTAAGATTTTCACAAAGGAAATCTAATTACTATATTACTTTATGGCAAAAAAAAGTTCTAAAACAATACACTGATTTCTATATCCCAGTAGAGAGAAAGAAAAAAACAGAAAACCTAGTAATCTAATTTCTCTAAATGTCAATTTCTATTTTTCTTTCTTTTTTTTTTTTTTGGCAGATGGCTGGTACGGGGATTCAAACTTTTGACCATGGTATTATAACACACGTTCTAACCAACTGAGCTAAACGGCCAGCCTCAGTTTCTATTTCTAAAATACTTAATTAAAAAACAAAACCAGGTTCAAAGGTGAGCTCTCCACATTTGGTCTGTTCTAACATTATGCAGCAAGTCACCATTAAACTCCCTTTTTAAACATTCCAATGATCCTCAACAAGTGAAAAACAAAATAATTTCCCAAATTCTATATCAGAATAAAATACAGCAGAACAGAAAGGTCAGAAGAAGGAAACACTGGTATATTCATTTTTGCTCCCTACTGGAGTTAATGATTTCCTGTTAACAGACTCAATGTCATAAACTTCACTTACCTTATGTTTGGGTCCTCTAGTCTAGGAAACTAATTTTATACTAAAAGAATCCAGAATCCAATGCACGAGAATGTAACTTATGTTTAACTCACACCTAGAACTAAATCAATTATCCTAAATTTGCCAAAAATTTAGCATATTAAACTATATTTAGTTTAGATGTATCAAATTTTTATAAAAGTACATGCTTTAAGTAGCTACAAGTTAAACATCCTACGCATTTCTAAAATGACTTGTTCCTTTCAAATAATTCACAGCATTCCCAGAAATATTCCAAATTAGCCAGTTGTTTATACAATGTAATCTTTCAGTAGTTCTTAAATCTCTTCTGAAACTAATCTACTGTCACTTGATATATCCCCAAGGTACATTATGAATATGGTCCTATTATGGAGTATGACGCTCCTATTGGGTAAAAATACCACAATACACATGTCTAGAAAAGAAGGCACACTCTAAAGAAACATCAGAGATGAGCTTCCTACAGGAATTTCATTTCTTCCTCACATTAGGATAGCTTATCAGTTGCACAAGTTTAACCAAGATTTTTTCATCTACCAGTTCACTAATAATGAAACATTCTAAAAATTCCAAACTCCAAGCCATTTAAGCCTTCATTGTTTCTACTAAATAGTTCCAAGTATCGTCTAAAGTAAGTAATCTACCTTCGATACTGCTGTCTTGAAATTTCATCTCCACCAAAGAAGTATATAGTTGACAGTTCCGTTCCAGTTTTATAACAGCTCTCTCTGTCTGATGGATTATATATTAAAGTAATATCCTGATGCCAAGAAAAAAAACCAGGAGTGAATATTAAATATTTTTCTTGAGTAAGTCATTTCATTCTGAATAAAGTCTTATAAGCCTAAACATTCAATATAGACACAAGTATGGCATTTCCAAGAAGATAAGCACTTTCACTCCTACATTATTTTCAAGTTTTATTTCAGCTTTTGGCCATAAAATATATAATTATTAAATTAATCTAAAAATTAGTTCATGTTTTTAGTGCAGAGACTTTTATACTTACTTCTTGTGTTCTTTCCTTGAGCACAAATTTATCTGGAAAAATCCTTAATACTTTAGGATCCAGCAAAACTTTTTTCTGAGAATCCTTAAAACCTACTGCTGTAACAAAAGCTGCACGAGAGCCAGTGTTGCGGACAGAAAAAACAATTTTACTTTCTTTGCCAGGTATTAAGCCATTCACTGTTACCATATAACTGTCAGATAATTTTTTAACACCTTCCAAAATGAGATTACTTGTTCCTCCATATCCAGACAAAGGTATCTAGAAGAATATACACATCCAAAATTATTTTTATGTAAGAAGAAAGCAGAAAATTCAATTACAGTCAGATTAACTACAATTAAAATTTTTAATGTTTGTACACTTTGGCTAGTAGTTACCCACCTTCAGCCCAGCATTATATTAAAGACTCTGTCTTAAGGGAAAAACAAATCAAAGAGCCACAGAATTATTTACCTTCCAATATGCTAAGAATAATGATTTCTTTCTTACAAAAGCCAAGCTTAAATGACAGAAGAATAAGAAAAAGATCAGTATAGGTAGGCTTGCTTAAGAAGATTTTAAGGTGAAACATACTGATGTTTGTAATTACTCTGAAATGCATTAAAAAATATATGGATTGATGAATGGTTAAATATGCAGTAAAAGAAATACAGCACACGTTAATTGCAGAATCTTAAGTGGTAGGGTAAATGGGTGTTTACTGTATAATTCAACTTGTCAGTAATTCTGAACATTTTTAGAGTAAAATGTTTGGGGGGAAATTTATTATTGTATAATCTCTTAGCATTTGGTCTAGCTAGTGTCAGAGAGAAGCATGCAAAGGACTAAACTGAAGATAAGAACTCAAAACAAGTCTCCAGGGACAGACACGCCAGTAACAGGGAAGCCATAGACTGGCACCAGCCCTTAGGATGCGTTCTGCTGCAGCCTCCACAGGGCTCAACCCTTCCGAGAAATAAGGTTCACAGAAGACATTCCATAAATAAGAATACAAGGAAAAGATTTATACTGCTTGAAAAGAAACTTTTCATACTCTTTAAAACACTTGTCTTTAAAAATTATCTTTCTAGCCAAGAGCTGGAACCAACCAAAATATCCGTTAATGGATGCGACTGGATAAGGAAAATGTGTATACATGCAATGGAATTCTATTCTGCCACCCAAAAGAGTGAAATTCTGCCATTCGCAGCAACATGGATGAACTCAGAGAAAATTATGTTAAGTGAAATATGCCAGGAACAGAAAGAAATACCAAACATCCTCACTCATAAGTAGGAGCTAAAAAAAGAAAAAAGTAAGTAAAAAAAGAAAGATACAACAATCATCACAATAATTTGTTGAACTTTCAAAAAGAGAGAACAGAACTGAGGCTACCAGAGGTGGGAAAGGGAAGAGGGGTTGAGCAAGAAATTGGTAAAGGGCCACAAAAATTATTACATTGTGTAACACTGAACATACTAATTATCCTGATTTGAGTACCACATATTGCACACAGGTACTGATATTCAACATTGTATTCCACAGATATGTACAATCAATTCTGTTTCAACTAAAAAAAATTATCTTTCATTTCTAATTATTAAAATAGGTTCCAAGGAATCCCTTGCAAACTTGAAAACATTAATGACTTATTCTGAGTTTTGTTACGTACCTAATCAAAATAACATTTTGAAAAATTAAATTTAGGTTCCTCATAAATTTGTATTGGATTGCCTTTAAGTACAAATTAATAGCATTTCAAAGGGCTTCAGATTGTAAGCTCCTACAAATTTTACCTCAATCAAAGTGACCTCTGGTAGTTTCAATAGTCAAAAATGTTTCTAATTTTTCTTTTTCCACAGAAACTTATGAGTAAATTTTATGTATAAAATAAATAGAAAATGGTAACAGGGGAAAAGGTAGCTTTGAAAACTCAATATTAAGTATTCTTCCTGTATTTAACAAAGCCCTAAGGAATCATAAGTTACTACTGAGTAAAAAGGATAAGAAAAAAAATAAGATTATATAAAATGAACCTGACTAATGTCAATAAATCCAAAGGCGAAACAGGAAAAATTATAGCTCGAGAGCAAGGTTTCTTAACCGCCAGACTACTGAAATTTTGAGCTGGCTGCCCTGTGCATTGTAAGATGTTTAGCAGCATCCCTGCCCTCTACCCACTAGATGCCAGAAGCTCCCTTGTGCCGTCCCCAATTATGACAACCAAAGATGTCTCCAGACATTACCAAATGTTCCCTCTGGTTGAGAGTCACAGCTATAGAGAACTACAAAACTGTAGAGCTGTCATTAGCACCCTAGAGACTGCATAAGAGACAAATCCGGGCTCCACTGGCCTGAACTCAAACCCAGCCTCCATCACTTACTGGCATATATAATGCATGACCACAGCCATGCATCTCTCTACGCCTCAGTTTCCACATGTGCAGAAGGGAGAATACTATTATCTCAGAAGGAGGTTTTGAAGATAAAATGTGATAATCCACATAGTGATTAAGAGCAGTGCCTAGCATGTACTCAAAATGCAATAAGTAATAATTTTTTATCACAGTCCCATCATGTTTTACGGTATTCAAAGCACAGATCATTTCATTCGTTCCTCAGAACCAAACTGGGAAGGTGAGATGGCAAGTAGCTGTATTTCTCAGGTAAAGAGAATGAACTGACTGATCCATGGTGAGTGTATCTCCCAAATTTCTGTTTTGAAACTTAATTTCCAGTGTGACAGTGTTAAGAGGCGGGACCTTTTGGAAAGTGATTAAGTTATGAGGGCTCTGCCCACATGAATATGATTAGTGCCCTTATGAAAGGGGATAAAGAGAGTGCCTCTGTCCCTTCCACTGTGTATGTGCAGCAAGAAGGAGCAGTCTTTGAAGCAGAGAGCAACCCCTCAGACACTGAATCTTCTGGCACCTTGATCTTAACTTCCCAACCTCTAGAACTGTGACCAATAAATTTCTGTTGTTTATAAATCACCCAATCTGCAGTATTTGGTTACAGCAGACCAAATGGACTAAGATAGTATTTTTGCTGAACTGAAAGAATAAAATTTACTTGGACAGTCAACATCTTAAACAGCTCTATCTGGTTTTACCCAAAGATGTGTTCCTGAAAAGCTAGCTGAGTACATTTAAAAATTCTCAAACTGAAATAAAACTTAAAAGTACTAGGAGAGATTGTAACTTACAGGAATACCATGATGGTTGCTTTTATACGTGGACAATTGCTCCCTAACTTGTTGATAACTCTAGACAATCGCATATTTGGACTTATAAAAAGCAGAGTATATATGACTTACCAACATTGAACCAACAGTTATAATATGTTATAAACTCCATGGGAGGAAAAAACAATCAAATTATCTTACTGTGAACTTAATGCCTGGTTGGGATCGATTTCCAAGCTGTTTGATTTCTAGTTTAGCCAACATACAAGATAATCGAGTAGGTGCAAATAATACAGAGATGATAATGTCTTCTTTCGGGCCAATTCTGATCTCACAGTTACTGGTCAATCGCTCTTCTACACCAAAGGTACTCTGAAGCTACAATTTAAAAACAGTCATAAAACAAAGCTGTAGCACAAATAAAATATACAATTAACACAAACTCTTGAAAAGATGAGTAATACAAAGTGGTCTGCATATGTAAGTGTCCTGACCTAGACAACACAGACAGAACAGGAGAGTATGCACTCTACGAACCTGAAAGCAGTCCTGATCTTGTCCTCTAATAAGCAGTCGTAAGTGTTGGGTTGCAGATGTAGAATTATTTCTTAAAGCTAGTTTCTGAAGCCTAAAAACAATTGCACATTTTAAATGAGGTTTTCCTGCATGGATATTGCTACAATTATAAAAATGAAGCCAATTAAAACCAACCACAATGTCTAGAAATGGACTGATTGTACATGTTACCTTAGTAAACTAGAATTGTCTCTCCATGGTCCTAGAACGCTACAGTTCTGAAAATACAGTCTCAAGACTCACCTTTTCAGAGAACCTTCTTGGAATTATAGCTCCTTGGTTGACCTTACCGTTTATAGTCTATGTATAGTTATTATCTGTCTTATAAAACATCAGTCAATAAAAATCCATGTTAAGAAATTCATTAAATCATTAAGTCAATACCACACCTACTTGGAATACCTAGCTCAGCCTAACTTTCAGGGTACTAAGCAGTCCTAGGCTAAGAGGCTCATGAGAAAAGTAGCCTTTTAAATAATATATTGAATTAACCCTATTTTTTAAAAATTACACTGCAAGTAGAAGGAACATATGAACAGCAGTTGGCTGACAGTAAGAAAGCCCTTCAATATTTAAAACTATATGAATCCTCTCTTCATTGGAGAATAGAGAATATGTGCATAAACCTGTATTTTACTGGAATTTTGAAGATCAGCAGTTAATAAATTATTTAAGCTGTGGTCTACGCCTTGTCCACCTGGCATAAGGCCAAGCCCATTGACTATCGGCACCCCTGGGAAAAGCCTTCCACATGTACACTGAATGGGGAAAACTTCCTGAAAGAAACATCACTGTATAAAGTTTTCATTTTTATTTATTTATATTTCTTAATTGTTAAAGAGATGAGGTTATCATTTTAAGAAGTACAGTTATCAAGGCAGGGGGAGAAGCTTGTTTTCTAGTTTTAAAAAGAATATACAAAACATATACAAAATAAAAAGGGTAAACATCTTTACTCTGTAAAGAGTCCATACAAGTTAATAAGAAAAAAATACTAAAATTCTAACCAGCAAATAGCCAAAGCATATAAGCAGACTTTTGAGGAAGAAACTAGAATGAAGGAACAAATAGTTATATGAAAAAATATTGAAGTTTAACTGGAAATCCAAAATTTTCAAGTTGAAATGAAATTCCACTTTGGACCATTTTATACTTGGAAAACACAATGGTAATTTGTTAATTATCATTCCTATCTGCAGCTGAGGCAAAACCCATTAACTTGATAACATGCCCTGCAAATTACTTATTTATTAATTTGTTCCCTATACTCATCCTCTGCTCACTTCAAATCTCCCTTCTGCAATAGGACCTTCTCTGCATGAGAAGCGCCAGCAACTGCCAGAGGCAGAGCAGTTCTCATAGGACTGGCAGCTCCTACATCTCACCCACGCCACTCTTACGGACAAGGAGCACTAACGGTTTTTCAGGCCAATTCCCTGCACCTGCATGGGGCTTACTCATGCATTTGCTGGAGAAGAAGGAATTATAGGAACTCTGCAGGAGAAAGTGAAGTCATGAAGTGTGAGCAGCCTGAATGCCCCTCACTCAGAAAGGGGCTAGGTAAAAAAAAAAATGCTGCTGACAAGTCCAAAAGCATACATAAGACAGTTCCCCTGTGGTCAATTTAACAAACATTAATTTTCAATTTTAAAAAAGTTTACCAAGTGTTAATTTTGTTTTAAATAAACTATAAGTGAAATTTCAGGATGGTACGGCATCTGAGGAGTGGCTGGATTTTAAGAACAGCCATCTCCACCATATTAATCATGTTTTACAAATTTTATCACAGCATAGAGAATTCTATCAAGATCAACACAAGGATAATTGTGGCTCTTACTCAATTTTCTTCTGCCTGTGACTTAGTGGACAAGATCAGTTATAGGATAAGCTGTGTACCAAAAGGGACACTCAGTAATTGAAGCTTTTCAGAGTCTGCACTTTAATAATTTGATAGCACATTAATAATAACTATGATTGCTAGGGCATCCTGTAAGGTAATGTCCCTTTGCTTTTTATTTTGTTATTTTTTTTGTCTTTTTCCATGTCCAGCAACGGATCGCAACCCTCAGTGTCGCCCCCGTACCGGACCGGGACCGGCAACGGGATCGCAACCCCTGGCGTTGCCCCCGCGCCTCGCTCAGCCAGTGAGCAGGAACCGGTCTGTATGTTGGATCCGAACCCTCGGCGGGAGCGCTGCCGCACTTCCCAAGCGGCGCACTAGCGCAGTGCGCCACCGGGCCGGCCCCCCTTTGCTTTTTAACTAACACACTGGTGGATGAGCAGAACAGTTAAATGATTTTGGCCACCTTCCATAGCAAAGAGCTTAAGGGCCTCAGTCAACAATTTGTACATATACTGGAGCAGACCACAAATTAATGTTTTAAGGAAAATTTTGTCAGACACTCTTCAGGCTCAGTTATATAGAACTGGAAAAGCATTCTAGATGGACATGTGTCCTTACTCTGCCTTGCCCGTCAACATATTTCAATCCCCCCAATTCTATCTTAACTGGCTTCAAAAGTACATGACACAATACAGGAGCTACTGAAGAGGGGTATTTCGTCAAACTCACCTCCACTTGGCATTTTTCAAAAGCCTAGCTGAGGGAAATATTTGCAGGGAGCTGCTTAAAGAACAAATGTTCCGGGGCCGGCCCGGTGGCGCACTGCTACAGTGCGCCGCTTGGGAGCATGGTGGCGCTCCCGCCGAGGGTTCGGATCCCACATACAGACCGGTTCCCGCTCACTGGCTGAGCGAGGTGTGGGAGCAGCACCGAGGGTTGCGATCCCGTTGCCGGTCCCGGTCCAGTACGGGGGCGACACTGAGGGTTGTGATCCGTTGCCGGACACGAAAAAAGACAAAAAGGAAAAAAAAAAAAAGAACAAATGTTCCATCCATTCTTCTAAGTGACCTAAATTATCTCAAACAACCACATGGTTTTAGCAACACCCAGAGTGGTGCCTGTGATGCACCACGCTCTGGTGTCCGCTTCCAAAGCAAACTGCACAACAGCACCTAAGTGGGGAGGGGGACATCCTAGGAAATGGGATGCACTATTTACTGTAAAGTTTTGTTTGAGATTCACTGCATTACACACATTTATCTTTGAAAGGACACCTGGAAGAAACATCTCTCAAAAGTCTGTGGCAGGAATAGTTGTACTTCTCTCGAGCAAGAATTAGTTTATTTTTAGCATCTGAACAGTATGGATCATTTAACTGATGACGTGACTCTCTGTACAGCAGTGGGTAGGAGGGTCAGGGCTAAGCTAACAGGGTCTCAAAGCAGCCTTCAGGGTGCTGCCTTTATGCTCCACTGCATTTCATTTTCCCACAGAAGCCATTTATCACTTCACTGTTTTTACCCTACAGTGTCTTTTTCAAAGCTGCTTTTAGAACAAGACAAGGCACAGATGACTGCATGGATGGTTAAGCAGATGGAGGAAATGTGTAAAGTCAGGAGGTTTATAACGTTAAAGAAGTAGTTTCTTCACATCTGTAGTAGATATTCATCCAGAAGACCCTCATCTCCCAGGTACCCTAGAAATGTGTGGGTAAAAATTCAGAACAAACACAAAAGTGCAAAATATAAACAAGTAAACATTTAGGTTTAATAATTACCTACATTGTTAATTAGAAGAGTTTACTAATTTTAGGTCTGTAAAAAAAAGTTAACTATGCTGCTAAGCTTATGAGAGAAAAAACTATTTCTATACTATATATTATATGCCAACTAATTTTATTAACCCAGAGTTATTCAGAATTTATAATCAAAGTAAATAAAAATAAAATTAGAGATACAACTCACTTTAAACTATGACAGAATATATCTGCACCATTAGAGACCTCTTGCACTCTTAAATATTATATTGAGTATTCACCAACTAGAAGACTGTAAACTCCTTAAAACAGAATACAATGTCTGATTATTTTTTCTTCCTTTCCATAGTGCTTGCCTCAGAAGAAACACACATGTTCTCAATTGCCTAAATTTGGTAACTGACAGAAAATTCACCAAAGAGTCAAAGAAAATTAAAAATTCTTTGGGTTGCATTTTAAAAAGAGGGGAAATCTCTAATTAAAAAATTAATATTCATGGGCCGAGCCCGTGGCGCACTTGGGAGAGTGTGGCGCTGGGAGAGCAGCAGCACTCCCGCCGTGGGTTCGGATCCTATATAGGGATGGCCAGTGCACTCACTGGCTGAGCACGGTGCGGCCGGTCTCAAAAAGGACAAAAAACAAAAAAAATTAAGATTCATAACAGGAAGATTAAGTGAATTTAAGACAGCTTTAAATCAATTCTGAAAATAGTGAGGCGGTCATAACACAGCAGAGAATAACATTAGGCAACGAAAGCAGACCCTCAGCACACCAAGCACCAAGTGTACACTTACTGTGTTCTTCCAAGAGGGACACCTCCCCAAGCCAGAAACTGCTTGTTGGACAAAATTGATGGAATATCTGAGCAGCAAGATCCAGGTGGCAGAGGTTTACTTCCTGGAGAAACTATTACTTCGCCTTTTAATACTACTTCATACTGAGGTCCAAATGGCTGGACAAATATTTTCAAGATCCTAACAAAGGAAGAAAACCTAAGTTGAATGTCCCGTATTCATTCTTTTGACAACTATTTTCTACAAGCTTCCTTTGTCCAAGAGACTGAGCTTGGTGCTGAGGATACAATGACATTCCCATCCTTAGAGCTTATGTTCCAGAGAAGACTACAGACAAGGAAAGAGACGATCATAACAACACCTACATGAGACGTCATGGTGCTACAGGAATACTATTTATGAGCAATTTGGGAAGAGTAAAGGAAAGCTTCCCAGAAGGAGTCAACCCAGGGAAGTTGAGGGCAAGAGTTCCAGGCACAAGTGCAGGCCAGACTCTTCCCTTCTTCTGTAGGGTCATAATAGCAGACTGAGCCCATGGAAGCATTCTGTAACCCAAGCTGGTGGACAAGCCCTGCGTGTTTCAGAGGACAGTGTGCATTAAGCTGGGTTTATGCAAACTTGAGAGCCAGAAACTCACAGGCCTGGAGAAGGGGTGGAGGAAAGTATCTTGAATTAACTGACAAGGACAACTAATGGTTTCATGGGAGAAAAATAAAAAGCTAATGAGAAACATCAAAAATGATGTTTTATTCTTTACTTTTGTCAGAATATATTTGAAAATAGTGATTTCATCATTTCTATCCAGTTGGTTTAAAAGGAGATTTTTAGTAACAAGAAGAAGAAACTCTGAGGCTAAATGAAAGTGGTTAATTATGCAGAGCTATATTATTTACAAGGTATAGTAAAATATGTAGTTTACCATTCGGGCTGTGATCTAAGTGAGTGGCTGTTTTGAGAGATGAGTAAAAACTAGTCATTACAAATATCTTAATATTACCTTTCCTCACAGACTTTTAGTACCTTTCCTCACAGACTTTGAGATCCTTTGGAATAAATGAAACTATAACTTCACGTTCTTCTCCAGGTTTAAGGAATAGAGTCTCTGGATCCACTGAAAAGTGACTTCCTTGTTCTGGGACCTAAACAGTGATACAGTCGTAACTAAAGGCTGACTTATACAGATGTGGCTCTCTCCCAGGCACTCCTTTTAACTATGTGCCTTTGTCATTTACTATGATGGGTTATTTGTCCCTCCTTGTCCATCACTGTCCCAACTTGTCTTATCTCCTGGAAAGGATATTTCTTCCTCCTCCTTCCTCCGTACCAATCCCTATCTTCCTCCTCCGTCCTCCGTACCAATCCCTATCTCCCACCCCCATCTCCACTTCCCGGTTACTAACACCCTCTCCCTCACCTGTGAGTCTAGAAATAATGCCTTATGCATGTGGCTCACTCTTCCCCAACTCCACCTAGCCACAGGATGATATGCAAAGCTTTCAGGAACCAATCTACAATGTCATTCCTATATTTAAAACTTTAGGCTTCAGAGTTAAAAATTTCACACTACTGTTAACACCTAGTTTTAAATCCTCACGGCACTGACAGGGCAGGCAGCACCGCAACCCCCAGCAGGTGAGGAAAGACTAGTTTACAGCATTTGGACAGGAGCTCCTACCTTGATGTCTAAATAAACTGCAATATTCCCAGCATTTTTCAAAGGTAAGTGTTGCTTTGTTAAGGAATCCACACTGGCCAACAAATGCATAGTCTAGAGGATGGGGCAAAACAGGAATGTTTAAAAAACTGTCACAATTAAAGTGAAATCAACCTGAACATGAAAGAAAACAGGCAAAGAGGAGCAGTGACGGTACCTGTAAGTCCCTCGGAGCATGTATCCTAGCTACTCCTGCTCTTGCCCGGAGACCAACGCTTCTAAGAACTGGTGTAGGGTTTGGGCTGTCAACTTCTATATCAACTCTTGCCAAGAATTCTTCTGCTGAGTCTAGAATCTCTACAAAAGTTCATTCCTTTAGTTCAGAGACCAGATATTTAATTCTAAATATCATCAGTAGTCCAACACAATGCTTGTAGGGGTTGTAACGAAATTTAGGCAAGAAGATTTTTAAAAGAATTAAAAGAGGAATAGAAATGAGTGGAGAAAAAGAAAGAAAACATCCAACTGGTAGATGTGATAAGATCAATTAAAAGAAAATATCCCAAAAGGTTTTTAGCAGTACTTGCTTGGGTTACCCACTTTCATGGATTTGACCCAAAACAGTATGACATTAGTCCCATTTTCAAAACATAAAATACAGGAAAAATTACTCAACGTACTCACATTTAGTGACAGAGAAAGTAAGCTTCAAATTTGCAGTTTATTTAGCTATAGAGTGAAGCAATTCCCACAAAATTTAAATATGATACCTGAAAAACTGGTTTGTTTCTTTGGACTATGGAAAAGAACCCAAATTATCAGAAATTCTGGATCCTATAAAATAAGAAAGAAAAATTTTTTTTAAATGTGTACTGATATTAAGATTGAAATCTTAAGGAAAGAAAAGCATTTTGGAAACTTAACTTCCCCTTTAATTCTAAGCCAACTCTTCAACCCACCCACCCTACCTGTCCATCGTAACTGGCAGGCATCAGGTGACTGACCACAGAAGTGGCTGCCAGCTGAGTGACTACATCAGCACAAGGAGCAGCTTTCACAGAAGCACAGATGGGTTCCTTGGAAAACATGAAGCAGCGCCAGGCTATCGCATCCTGTTCAGAAACAGAAGAATCAGATTCAGTACAGCTAACAGTGTTATGTTAAACTTGATAAATTTGATGGAATCCTTAACCAAAAAAATGTACTTTCACAAGAAAAATGAACTGAGAATGATATTAGCAGTATCCATAATTCCAAACCAACGTACTCTGTAAACAGCTTCTTACCGTATGCTAGTACTTACAGCATTAATAATCAGTCTGATTGGCACGGTGGCATGTGTCCTATTTATCAGTTTTAATGGGAGAGCTTTCCAGCCTCCGTAAGTCAAGTCACCAAAATCAAGAACATCTTTCTTGTCTGTTTTTACCTAATTACAAAAAAAGGGACTAATTTATGAAAAGCAATATTATTAATAAATATTGCAGCTTATGTTCTATCACTGCCTTTTCTAGCCACAAATTAAGAGTCAGCATTAAAGGTAAAGTTACCTATTTCTCCCAGGCTATTTTACAATTGCTTATTTTCTACAAAAATAAATGTTAAATTCTTCTTTTGAAGTAGTCTATGTACCCAAATATACTATAGAAGAAAGCAGTATCTTAGCTGATGCTACTTTGAAGAGACTATTAGATCTTAAGAGAAATTGACAATTTTATAAAGTACATAAATCTCCCTTCACTATTAGAATATTGACTTCTCAATTCCCTTTAAACATACCATGACTGGTTAGGTCAGTTGATTAGAACGTAGCCTTATAACACCAAGATCATGGGTTCAGATTCCTGTACTGGGCAGCCACCAAAAAAGACAGAAAAACATTGCCTAACAATCTTGAGGTAAATGATAGAAATCATTCATGTACAACAAAAATATCATGAATACTTTGGCATTTTCAGATTTAATACAAACATCTGAAATAATGAAAGTGTTCAAAAACATCAAAATAGACATATCAAAAGTTTAAAACAAGTGCCTACTACCAGAACAGGCTGACTTCTATAAATTTGGGAGACCAAGGTACACAGAACCCTCCTACCAACACATGTAGAAATGCCGGACGATATTTAACACACACACAATATTTTTTTTCCCCTTAGCCAAACATAAAATGAAGTGAAATCAAAGACAGATTGGCAAGCAGGAGGTGACCTTCGTGGTGGCCCATGAAGGTCTGGGGTTCAGATTCACCCCCAGGTGGTTGAGCTTTAACGCCCTACTGAGAATGGAAGACATGACCTCAAGCCTGTGGGCAGAGCAAGGCTGGAATGGAATTTGAACTCCATGCATAAAGCCGAGAAATTCAGAGTGCCCTTTCTGGAAATGAAAAGAGAACTGGAAGAACTCTGTTCACATGTATGGGGGACAACAGAGAACCTGTCCAAGGTGGACGGGTATGGAAAGATCACTTGCAAGAATGTGAAAGGCTGGGCCTAGGCCACACCAGCACATGGGCCCCATGCGGAGAATGATGAAGCCTTCAGTGACTCCAGCATTTCTACAACTTGCCCTCTAGGGACACTTCCAAATACCAGGCCAGAGGTGATCCCTACTGCAAAAAGCAGCCTCAGTAAATGTGAGCTCACATTAAAAAATTTTAAATATTATTTTAAAAACTGGAACATAATCAGGAATATCCAGCAAAAGTAACTAGCAGAGGTATTAATACTCCAAGAATAGAAATAATCTGAAGTGAACTACAAAATAAGTTCATTTTAAATACAAATAAGAGAATGATAGAGGGAAAAGCAGAAGATGTATGACTCAACAGTGAGCAAAAACGTGTAACAACTTAGTCAATCTGTTACAGAAATTTAATACTGGGATTTTAAAAACCATTTGGAACTAAAATATTAGTCAAAGATAATAAAGATGAAAAAAAGATCATTAAAATGGTCAAAGCTTAATGTGATGTTTGGGAACAGAACAGAGGTCCTGATTAGTTTTTGCCTCGGGTAACCAATTTGCAAAAATGGGAATAAAAGTGTATAATTTCAAAACTAATGCAAAAGAAGGAAAAAAGAAAATTTAATCCATCCAAAAGGAGTCACAAAAGGGAAGGGGGGGGGCATGGAAAAATTTTGGCTGAATTTTTCAGGGACATTATAATAAAACTGATGTTGAAAACTCAAAAATAAAGAGATGGAAATAGATATAACAAGAAATTAGTAATGAAAAGAAAGATGACATAGCAATATTGACACCAGACAAAATAGACTTTAAGACAAAAGGAACCTTTTCACTTAGAATAAAACAATCCTGAGCCTAAACACACGTACCAACATAGCTGCAGAATACCTAAGAAGAAATTGACAAAATTTATAATTCTCCTTATAGGAGAAATTTCAAATTTACAACCACCTTTCTCAGAAGCTGAAAGACTAAGCAAACAAAAATATTAGTAATGATCAAGAAAATTTGAACTACAGAGTAACAAACCAGAGCTAAAAGGGCACCCAAGACAAGGAGACATCCTTTTTAAGTAATTAAGAAACATCAATATATACTAAAAACATACTAGACTACAAATTCAATCTATCTTCATCCCATATTCTGACTGCAAAGAGGAAAGTAGGAAAAATAAAGGCCGCCAAAATATTTGGAAATTATAAACACATTTAAAAATCTTTCTGGCCAACTTTAACATGGAAACTTTTAGCAATGTGGAAGAAATAGCTAACTGACTACATTCATTGGTTTTGGTACATATGCAAACAATATTCTAAAAACCATGGAAATTTAGAAACACAGCTTTTTGCACTTTTGATTTGAATTAATCGAGCCCCTACTACGTGCCAAGCACTGTTCTGGACATGAACAAAAGAGATGAAGTTGCCACCAAGTGGTCTGCACACCTGGGAGGGAGGGAGCTCAGACAATAACAATAATCAGTGAATATTTGATATGTCAAGTGGTAAAAAGCACTAAACAAAGTATTGTAGGATACAGGGAAGTGGGAGGGTGGAGATGAGGGACAGGCAGGGGCTGCCATTCCATAACTAGTATCAGTGACATCTGAGCAGAGACCCAGAGAAAGTGAAAGTGAAGCACACAGTTATCTATGGGAGAAGGATTCCAGTCAGAAAACAATGGCATTCAACTTGGACAGGGATCGTCAATCCTCGTGGCTTCTTCATCACCAGAAATACTTTCTGAGCTGTCTCACAGGTGTCCAAAAAGTTCAATCTTCACATGCATCCAAACTGACCCCACAACACTTTTTAATGTGATGCTGTCACTAAAAGTTATTCTAAGCTGAAACACTCATTCATATAACATAGGGCAGTTGTTTTTATTTATTCTGTACATATATGTTCAAGATTTCCCCCACCTAACCATTTACCATAGTTGCTGAAAATGATATATTTAAAACACTAATATATAATATGTAATATTTATATACCACCAGGGATAATCACTAAATGTGGTTAAATTTCTTAGTCTCTTTTTGTTGTTGTTTTTGTTTGTTACTTTTTAATCTTTTTTTTAATTTTGTTAATCTCCTTTTATTAAAACCAATTATGTCAACTGACTTTTCANCATAGTTGCTGAAAATGATATATTTAAAACACTAATATATAATATGTAATATTTATATACCACCAGGAATAATCACTAAATGTGGTTAAATTTCTTAGTCTCTTTTTGTTGTTGTTTTTGTTTGTTACTTTTTAATCTTTTTTTTAATTTTGTTAATCTCCTTTTATTAAAACCAATTATGTCAACTGACTTTTCAGCACATCCTAAACCAACACCCACTCAAGTAATTACAGGCTAATGCATCATTCCCAAGTAATGAATTTGTAAGAAAACAGTATTAAGCCTCCCTCTTTTCCAAGGGATATGTTTTTAGAGGAGAAAAAGCAAACCTTGTCTTATATTTGAGACACAGTGTCTTACCTGACTATGTTATATTTAAAATTTCAGCCCAACAAAAAAACAATTCAGTTGAAAAGAGCCAAGCAATGGGGGCTGGCCAGTTAGTTCAGTTGGTAAGAGCATGGGGCTGATAACACCAAGGTACAAGGTTCGACCCCTGTACCAGCCAGCCACGTTTTGTTTTGAAAACAAAACAAAAAACAAAATAAAGCCAAGGAATGGAAGAAAATAATCAAAAAGAGTAATAATTGGAAAAGAATTATGATCTACAATATAAAAAACATGTACAAAAATCGATATAGAAAGAAAAATGGGGAAGAAACATATGAACAGCAAGTTCAGAGAGGAGGAAACCCAAAAGGCTAATAAAAATATAAAAAGATGCTCAACATCACTAGTAATCCAAACATGTAAATTAAAACATACGTTATATATCCAAGAAATAAGCATACAATTAAAAATCTAACAATAGCCACACAGAAGCAGACTAGAGAGCACACTCAGGGTCCTAGGCAAAAAGCTGTGGGCTGCAGCCCCCTCCACCCAGAAGCAGGCAAGAGAACACACTGAAAACACCACTTCCACATGGGTGGCTCACCAAAGCCACCGCCACAGTCATGGCTGCCAAAAAAGAGGCTCAACGCTACAGCCACAGTCCCTGTGCAGGTGGCTGCTGGACTCTTGACTGCATTGACACGAGAGTCACCAGAAGCAGAAAATGAGGACATCTCTCTCCTCAAAGCCCACTCCAGAGTAACAGAAGCAACTGCTCTACCAGATGATCAGACATCAATGCAGAAATACTACAAATACAAATAAACAAGAAAATATGACATCATCAAAAGAATATAATAATTCTCAAATTCTAGACCCTATAAAGCAGGAGACTCTTGAAATGACTGAAAAGGAATTCTGAGCGAAAATCTTAAAGGAAACTCACTGAGATATGAGAAGACTCAGACAACATAATTAAGTGAGGGAGAAAAAAATCCAGGAGATGAAGGAGGAAATTTACAAAGAGACTGATACCTTATAAAAGAATGTAGCAGAACTAATGGAACTAAAAGATTCACTCAATACAATAAAG